ATCAGTAATAGGTATCAGAGGGCTGCGCGATCACCCTCATCTGCAGCTACAACTTTGGTTCGAAGACGCTTTGATGACGCTCTAATTCAAAGCTGATTTAACTCGTTCGCTCCTCGCTCTGCGATGAATGGTTGAGTTTATTTTGCAGCCGTCTCTGCTGTCGTGTTCCGCTGTGAGCTGAACAAGGAAGGCTGGTTTTGGACGTAACCCCTTTGAAACTCCGGAAGCTGTGGCCAGACAAGTCAGTTTTGTGGCTTGTCTGTACTTGGATATGATTGTTCTGTCAGAAAAACACTGCTTCGTATGTGTTGGTAGCCGGTGCCAAAAATTAGCATATACAAATATACGCAAAAATCAAAGAAAAGAGGCTTAAAATAATTATTAAATCCAATGAGTCTTAATTTCTGGCGCGAATTTGCAGATTTGGAAGCGGTGCATAAATCGTGCTCCGATATAAGTCTGTATGGTGGTGAAGATGGATGTATAAAGTCAGCTATAACAGATCTTCCAGGCAACCTAATGAAGCTCAACGGTCAAATGCTACAATGCTACTGTAGTGACAAGGATTACTGTAACAGTAAGGCAATGGCAGCCCCGTCAGTAATTTTTGCAGTGCTTTCGATATTCCAGTTTCTAGTGATCTGGTGTTAAACTATTTCCATTGTTATCGTTAAATACTTTTATAAAGTAAATAGCGAGATTTTGATTTCTGTAAACTGCAAAATAGATCCGAATGCCCTTTTCAGGCTCTGCATCACCGCTCCTGAAATAATGTCACATTGCAATTACACACGAATTGCTAAAGCCTACTTTTCTCTGTGAAAGTTTAGGGAACAATTCAGCGGTGGTGTAAAGCAAAAAGTTCGGATTCTCATGGGTTTCTTATGTTGAATATTTGGTCAGTGCAATAAGCTACTGCTTTTGGCACAGTTCTTCGAATGGAATCGGAATAAATAGCAACGCGCACCAGACTAGCCGGTGCGATCACGCGTTTTGTGCAATTCAGCCCATTGAACGATTGTCTATTAATGATTTTCACTGCTTTGTACTTTAGTCTATGCAAAGATAGTTCAAAAATTGGAAAACAA